GGTTCTCTCCCTACCCCTATTAATTGATTCCAATCACACAGCTTCAAATGTCAGCCATGATTTTTCCAATGAACTACAGATTTAATATTTCCGTGCAACTAGTGAATTCCTCCCCTGTGCAGGCTTGTAGAAACTTAAAACACATATTCCAAAACATGCCTTTTCATTTCCCACATCCTCTTGCAACTGCATTCTGTAGTTGATATATACATGTCTCTAATACTGAACTGTAAGTTTTTCCAGAAACTTTGGCATTTCACTTACCTTTGAACTCCCAAAACTTAGCTGACTGCCTGGCACAAGGTAGATTCTCAATAAATATTTGATAACTGAATGACCTAATGATGGAATGTTGTTTAAAAATATGCATTTGATATTAGTGCTTAAGAAATGCAGTAATGTAATAGCAAGCAGAGCTTAGGGTTTGGGGGTTTTAAATAAAAACCTCCTTTTAGTTAATTATGCCCAACATCAAATACCCCCTATATTTTTCCTGAGTTGTCTTTGATGTGCCTTTGACTTTATACAAGGGCAGTGCTAGAGGATTCTCTTATTTGACTTGGGTTTCCAAGGGATGCCAGAATGAAGGCAGACTCTGAGATATAGTTAGAAATTTGTGTCTGGAGCTTTTAGTAATAAATCAAAGTGAGAATGCAGTTCTCAGTGGGTGGTGCTATTGGTGTCAGGTGTATAGCTAGTGATTTCAGTCAAGTAAGCAAGTCTGCCTACAAGCTTTAATGGATTTGAGGTCCAGCAGTTTGTCTGTTAAAGATTAGAGTAACTGGCAAAGACAATTTGTTAACCAGACTTTTGGCTCATTTTCCCTTTGAATTATTAAGCTAAACACACTTCCAATCCATTCAGCTGATGCAAGAGGGCTCTCTTAAGTCAAGACCAAGTCTTAAATCAACCTAGTTATCCTAGACTGCCCTCCTTCATTTCAGTGACATTAGTAAACATCTGTATTCCTGAAGCTAGATTTTTTTTTCTCCTCTGTGGCACACATCTTACTAGGGCTAATGGGTTGGCAACAATTTAAAATTTCTTGAGACTAGTTAACTTTGGGCAGGTGGAAAGATTGAAGATTGGTGAGGTTGTTTCAGCAAGCAAGCTGTAGTTTCTTGCCAAGCAGCAGTGTAAGAAGAAAAATTCTCCTTCATAATGTTGTAATGTTTCTGGTGGTTGTCCATGCCAAATTGACAAATGACAGTTGCAGTCCTTAAACCCATAAGATCATTAATTCTTGGTGTTGTTACCCAATGGATAATTATCTCTCAGTGCTCTCTGCCATTCCCCCATGATTCTGATAATAATAGTCCCAGCAGTTTTCCCAAATTTCAGTATCTCCTGGCATGGACAGAAGGTACTCAGTGAAACCTATAATGAATAAATGAATGAATGAATGAATGAATGAATGAATGAATAGCAAGCTGTAGTTTGCCTTTGCCTATGCTTAAATTGGAGCAAACAAGCAAAGGAAGAATTCCTTTCTCCTTCTAAATGAACCGCTCATGTTCCTCTCAGCTGCCTACCTTCTTTGGAAGTCTAGGGGAGACTGTCAGAACTTGCTGTGGCTTCTGTGCTTGCTCACACTGTATTCTGTACTCAAAACTCATGAACATTTCCTTTAATGCTTAAAGCAACCCATTGAGATGGCTACCATTACTCTAACTCCACACACTAACAAATCTAGATTACTAACTTAGTTTGATGGACCTCAGATTCTCTGTCCAAGATTCCTTGCATTATGATAAAAGACTTGTCTAATTCCTATTCCTGGACATCTTTCATCTGGGAATAGTCAAGTGTACCTGTGTTGTTTTTTTTCCTAAAGAGCTGTGCTAACTCTTTCACCATTTTGTTATGATGTTAGCATCACACTTTAGCTCTGATATCATCTCCTTGTTTTATAGAAATGGATTAAAGATGTTCCACTTGAATAAGAACTTTGAGGAAAGGATCTCAGAGAAAGTGTCCTGGGTAGAAAATAAATCACAAATTGAAGGCAAAGAGAAAGTAGAAGGTAGACTTAGAAGAGGAACAATATATTGGTAGGAAGATGAATAGGAGGAGAGAGCCAGATAGAAGGGTTATAATTCTGAGGGCTTAGAATATAGAAATGAGTAGATTTAGATAAACCAAGTGGATGTTAAAATCACATTATAGGAAGGATGTTTAGTTAGGTGGAATCATAATCTAAATAAGAAAATAAAATAATTAAAATAAATAAGAATTATATAATTTTTAAGGTATTTGGGGATACTAGAGACTATTTGGAATTGATAACTCACAAACATCTTTTGAATTACCCTTCATTCAACCTCAGGAACTAGAAATAAGAAATCATCTATGAAGCATTGACTTTAAAAGAAGGGTTTGTAGAAGAAAAAGTGAGTAGAAGGGTAGCTGTGGTAGTCAACTTTATGAACCTGAAGAAGTTAGAACTCAGTATTTTAGAATGACAGTCCTAATTTTGATGCCACCAAAACAGTTTGCAGGTTTAAGAAATAGATCAAGAAAAGCCTGTGCGTGTGGGAAAGGTTGTTATTTTTATTCCTTTAGATAAACTGACTATATATGAGGGAGCAATGATCTCATGTGGTTTACCCATAAGAAATTCCAGGTAATGAAAACAGTTGAGCAGAATTACTTATATAGGAAACCAAATTTGGTCCTGGAAAAAAGTGCAGAAGTTAGTGCTTATTGGTTAATATATAGTTCAGTGGATATTTATTAAATAAAGCTTGGCTCTGTGCTAAACTGAATTACTTCAGTCTGGCAATTTTGTTATCGGCATACTCTATTACATTCTTCAAAATGCATTTAATTGGTTTTCTTGAAACGATCTCTGGCTTCTCATCTAAACAATCAAACATAATTTTTGAAAAATATCACATTCCAGAGAATAAATATAGAAACTGCCAACCCTGAACTCCTCTATTCAAACGGCAGTCTTATAAGGTTAAAAGCGCAGAAATAGACCAAGAGACAGTTTTCCTCAGGGTCTTGGGAAGTGGCCAGATGAGTGTTTACAGTCCTCGTAATTTGCTGATGTTCTATTTTGCTTGTGTACATTCTTAGCTGTTTCCCCCTACGCCTTTTTTCCAAGTTAGATTCTTCTCTCTTCTACCCGAGCTGAGGTACCCACTACTTGCTTTTCTATTGCTGATTCCAAGCATGATAAGGTTAGCGGACACAAGGCTATTTATGGTGTGGTATTATCTTAATTTAACTTACTGCTTTAACTAACTGCCACTATTTATTTCTCCAATGTGCTGAAATAGCTAAATGTACTTGATAAACATGTTGGGGCAGGGGTGAGAAATTAAATGTCTCTGAGCATCACTTCGGTATTGATCCATTAGTTACTCTGGTCTCCCAGAAAAAATGAAGGGGACACTGGCAAAGCCTCTCTAGTGACTGAGGTGTCACTAGAAGTAAACACCACCCCTCTCCATTAATGCAGTCATCCCCAGAACTGTCGTCCATTTCCAGATGGTTAAACAAGGAACAGGAATCTCTTTGTAGAAAGATTTCAGGGGTTTTTTTGTTAATAGAAAAACTGACCGATACAGAACTGTATCCTCTTTTGGATTTCACTCCATAACCATTAAATGAATGTGGACTGGTATTTTTCAGGGGTAAAGGAATACACAGATATGAAGACTTCTTATGCCTACCATGATAATTTACATTTTCTTTCTGTTTCTGTGAGTACACCAATAACTCACAAACATTAATCTGTAGAAAAATCTGATGAACGATAGTTTATATGAGCAGAAATCCTACAATTGTGGGGTGGAGCTACCTTAGAAAGTTAGATCAGTGATAGTGGGAACAGGGGCATGCTGAACAGTCAACTCAGATAGCTTTGCTGGAAGTTACATGGGATGAACCATACAGCTGGGATTATCGCTGCTTCTTCCAGTGAGGATAAAGAACTACAGAAGTATTGCTGATGGCAGAAATATAATGAATATATTTATGTTATAAAATATGTGTATTTTATATATATTAATATGTCACCCTGATACTGTCCTCATTGGTTGCCAAGAGGCAGTCTAATTAGCTCTCAGAAATATGGCCATAAGTAGCCTCAGTGGAACATAATTTTTTCAAAGACAGAACAGTTTCCACATTGTTAGCCATTTATGGAATGAATATGTGTAACCAAAGGAAAATGGCTGCAAATGAATCTGCCTTTAATCTAAACCTTTCATGAGTCAGGAGATTTTTAAAGTGTGTATCCCAAGAGGTGAGATTGCAACTGAAGATTATTTTGACAGTATTTTCTTCTTGGAAGGGAAGAAACAGAAATCTCACCCACCACAGGCCTGTGCTAATGTGTTAACATACTGAACCAAAAGGCTATGAGGGAGAATATAATGGAAATTACATTTTTGGTTTATTTCCAGGTGCGTAAAAGTGGCACTGTTTTCTATCTCCTGTATGAAAGTAACACTACTGGACTAATGATAGCCGGGCAGGTGCATACTACTGTATTTTTAATTGCACTGACTGTTTCTATTTATGCATTGAACTTGCCCACACATCCCCCCCGCCACACACACCCACACACATGCACACACACAAAGTCCTCTTTGGGATCGAAGGTATGCATTTCCATGACAGCTGGCTTAAGTTAAGATGGTGACTCTGGCCATGGAATGCATCCACACAGGCTAGTTGGCCATGGGGCGATTGACCCTGGGACACTGGCATCACTAACATCAGATCCTAACCATTTAAGTTCACAGCCCATAGTCCCATTCTGACATTGGGCACTCTCACCATGCCTCTCAATGAGGTGGTCTCCTGTCGCATTCGTGAACATTATACGATGATGCTGATTTCTGTTCTGTTCATGGAAGAGATATACATATAGATAGGTGACCAATATTTTTTATACAAAATCTACTGTTACATTAAGGCATTTAAATAATTTAAGTGAACGAAAAATACAAAGCATCAATTTCTTATACTTTTTAATTAATTTTCAGGTCCCGTGGATGTCAGTATTCTAGCTAAATGTAATCCCTGCTTATCAAACCCATGTAAAAACGATGGCACCTGTAACAATGATCCAGTTGACTTTTATCGCTGTACCTGTCCCTATGGTTTCAAGGTCAGTAGAAGCTTTTGAGGGAGCCCCGATCTGAAAACATAGCTTTCTTTGGTGCGTGCTCATTATTCTGTTGTGTTTTCTCTCTGTACTGAGATCTCCTTTATTTACACTTGACTTTACTTGGCCATTCCTTCTCTAGGGACAAGACTGTGATGTCCCGATTCATGCATGCATCAGTAACCCATGTCAACATGGAGGAACTTGCCACTTAAAGGAAGGAGAAAAAGACGGATTCTGGTAGGTGATTAGTCTATAATACTCTGTCTGAAGCATTGGGGCAAGAATAACTAAGTAAACATTCATGTTCCTTTTCAAATCAAAAGGTGTTATTCTTAAAAGAAGCCAGAAATTTATTCATAAGGACAATATGTATTAGTCCTTCTCAGAGATATTGTAATATGAAAAACAAGACATTACAGTATTCTCAGTTCAGGATGCTATAAAATCAAGAAATTTTTAAAATGTGCATGTGCGTGCATTATGATTCATACACTCAGATTAGGTCAAGACAAAGTAGTAGCTCTGTTATGGTAATTAATAGCCAATAGTCTCCTCTTCATGTCATATATTCATCTGTTGCTTTGTGTATTGCTTTAACAGACAGTGTGTAATGATAAGATGTAGGTCCCACTGAAACAGACAATTAATGATTTATTTCCAGGCCACAAAATGAGTAGACAAACATGCTGTGAACATTTTTAATCTGGAGTTACTTAATCATATGGTACAATTACTTCAGATGTACTTCATGAATTATGAAACAGAGTTCTTATAATGACGGTAATAATTTCACATAAGAATGTTAATCTACTACAAAGCTTGTTGGAAATACCACTTTTTATAATTATTCTTCATTTCTGCATTCTGTTCTGAAATGGTCTCTTTTCCAGTAAGACCACTCAAAGGTTATTTTGATACCTATCAAGGTCAAGTGTACAATGTGTTATTGTCATGGTAAAATTGTATCTGTTGAGACTTAACGAGAACGTTTACATTTTATAATGACAAGGAAGATGTAATTTTATTTTCATACTCCTTTTTTGTTTTGAGACATGGAAGACAGTATAGTTAGGGTAGGAAGTATTATAATTTTTTAAGTCAGAACCAGTTCCTCCTTATTTATGAGCAGAGAAGCATGAATCATTTTATTAGAGCACAAGGTGAGATTAAGATAGCTAGAGCTGTAAGCTTTGCTTGTGTTTTAGACCTGCCAATACATTGGATTTATTGACTTACAAGACCACGGAGCCATTTGCCCTCTTGCAGCCAACATAAATTTTCTTTTTCAAATTGTTTCTGATTTAGGGGATACTACCTTAAATTCATGCTTACTACATGTCATTTAAAAGCATTTTACAGTTCAATTTCTTACAGTTAAAACCTCTGTAGTTGATGAGTGTGTTTAGCTTTTTTCAATTTTTGGACCATATGGCTTTAAAATGCAACATGAACATGGGGTTTTTTTTTTGCCTTTTCTCCCCCTGGTGTTCAGGTGTATTTGTGCTGATGGATTTGAAGGAGAAAATTGTGAAGTCAATGTTGACGACTGTGAAGATAATGACTGTGAAAATAACTCTACATGTGTGGATGGAATTAATAACTACACGTGCCTTTGTCCACCTGAGTACACAGGTAGGAAGAGTAGGAAATTCTGTGCCATCAATAGTGTATCTGTTGGAAAGCATCACTGGCAATGTGCTGTATATGTGTAGTAAGCCACTGTATTATTCAATAACTGGTAGGTGTTTTGAAAATTAGATGTAATGTGAATAACAGAGAGTTAAGAGGGTTTCAGCCAACCAAATGAAAGACCAAGCAGGCATCTACATAAAGTCATGCTATCCAGCTGAAAAAGAAGTTATCATTCTGAAGCTTTTCATTGCAGGGTTGCATAACACTTTTCATGCAAAGAATTTGTCCTGTGCAAACCAACCCACCAATAAACAGATGAAAAGGGGGGCCTATTTTTCACATAGTCGAAACATAACTAAGCATTTGAGATTACTTGTGTCCATATGTGTTTCTTCACTAGTGAGTGTTTTCCTCTAATAACTCATGTCCTTCAAAATAAAATGTAATCAGGAAGATACTAAGCACTTCGGATAATCATATAATTATCACCTTTTTTTCTGACATTTTGTATCTGGGGGTGACAAATTTCCTAAGTCTTTCTGAGCTGGTAAACTTCCCTGCATAAACCAATTTGCTGTAAATGCCATGTCAAGTTTAGACCTACCTGTTATGTCAGAATATCTGTTTTGATAGATTTTGAGGGCTATGAATAAGAAGCAGAATAGTTACAATCTTGTTTCTGTAATAAACCACTTCATTTTACAGTTGATAGAGAAAAGGAGAATGTTACACATTTTATTTGTAAGAAAAGGTGGGGAAGTAGATTCTGTCACTCTATTCAAAATTACCATTTTCATTTTCATGGGTATTTTTCCTTAACCATATATTTCCTTACAATTTTAATACATAGTTAAGAATATCAGAGGGTAAAATAACTATGTAGATGACTGAGGTTAACATCTCTAAACATGAAAAGATGAGAGCACATCTGTATGATTCACTTTCCCAGGGATTTGTCAGAATAGCATTGAAATTTAATCTTTCATGGAATACTCAAACTTTGCATTTTAATAAGTACTTTTCTTGGTAGGAAAATACTAGGTAAAATAAAAGTGTTCTGTTTTGACATCCCAGATCTGTTTGAGTGCCTTCAAACCTGTCTTTTCCATGATATGGTTTTTTTTTCACCAGTGAAGCATATAATGTAATATATTGAGTTTCTAGGAGAAATGTGAACATGTTGTATCATAATTGTTCTGTTACGTATATGCAGCCCTTGGGCCCCTTAGTGGCTAGTTTGAATTCCTTGATATTGTGCATTAATAAAGGATAGCAAGTATATTCAATAGGTACCCATCCTAAAACGGTTGGGAAGTGTAAGTGCTACATAGGTTTCACATTCACACTAATATTACTTGTGTCACACCTCAGACATTTGCCACTGGCCTGAATGCACAGATCCTGGAGCCCTTGGAGCTACCCTGAGAATTATTGGCTGAGCTAAGTTAGACTTGTACAAGAAACCCAACGTTTGCACTAAAATCTGTTACCTAGTACCTTCTTGGGATGGAATAATTCTGTTTGCCGATCATTGTCCTAATCATTATCGAAAGGGCTTAATTCACTTAATTTTGGAAGCCTCTTTAAACCTACACCCACACTGACCTGGATAAATTGGACCCAAGCATTTCAAGCACGTTTGGGTTAGCCAATGAGCTCCTGAGCACAGAAACCAAGAATTTATGTATATCCCCTGATGAAACCCTAGGCTTGAAAGCACTGTGTATTTAGTTCTTACACACCTTTTTTATGATAATTTACATCAGGTGGCAGACTCTTCTCAGTTGATTTGGAGGGGTGCACCTGCTTTGGCTTTAGATTTGCTATATGTTATTCCTAATCCATTTCTTTTGAGTCTCATCTTACCTTCTCTCCCTTCATTTTCCAAGCTTCCTTCTAATAGCTGCTCCTCTTGAACACATTTTCTCCATCCCAGGTGATTCAGTTCAATGCCCCTCCCTCTGAGAAGTATCATGAAGCCTCATTTCCCTCTGTCAGATCTTTGAAACATATCAAAAATCCCTGAGGCTTAGCAAAACCACTTTTTAACCAAAATATGACATCTATAAAAGCCATCATGTGGGGATCTGCCATGACTATCTGTCCAGAGCCATTTGGCTCTCAACAAGAACTGAGGCTGACATGTCCTTAGTCATAGCTATTGCAAATACCGGTTTGCCTTAATTTGGGCAAAGGAGAAACAAAAACATTGAACTCAGTAGCAAGCTCGCAGCATACAATACATGAAGATATTACCACTATAACTGGGCTGGGTCTCGTGGGCAACAAAGAACTTGACAATTTGGCATCAGAGCAAATATCTATACAACGCACATTTGTAACCCATCCATTAGCTGTAGTATTTTTGTTCATATGTGAAATGAGCTCATTTACAAAATATCAAGCAACCATCTGCATATTTTGAAATCAGTGGCGCATGAGTGGCCTTTAATTATAGGAAAGCATAAATTGGACTCTAGAGTTTCATATCATGCTTCATCCAAGGCTGTAGTGAGGGAGGATTTTTTTTTATAATGTGGCTGTATTGTTTTAGATTTAAGATTGGAATCTGATTAATGAGTAGGAGACCTGGGAAAAGAAACCCCTGCTGTGCTCAGGGAATATAATCATGTTATCATTGCTTAAAAATCACTCAAGTCATAAGTTGCTTTTCTGTTTGGAGATGTTTTACTCTACACTGCCAAAGGCAAACAATGAGAAAGGGAACTGTTTAGCAGGAACAAATAAAACTTCACGGGAAGAGGTTGTAAATTATTATGGTGAAAGGTTTTATATTTGGCACCCATGTCAAGAGTCAGAAATGGACATAATGTTAACAGAGAAAATTCAGAGATCTGAAAGCAGTCCGACAGAGAACTCATGATGTGATAGGCAGGCTATAAAACAGAGCTAAAAATACTCAAAACAAAATGAACCACCATTGGGAAATTAAATTTATTTAAACCCTTGTAACCAAAACATCACAGTAAAAAGTTACTGATTTATTAAAGGAGAAAACTCGCTATTCTTTCCTGCTGCAGGGATTGACAACATCAATTTTAAGGGTCAATATTGTTTTTTATTATCTAATCCTTGCTATGCCTTCCCCACCCGAGCTATCAAAACTACTCTTTTCTACCTAACCCAACCCATTATCTGTCCTTCTGGTTGTATAATATGACTGTTGGTTGCTAGTATTTTTCAGATAAGATTAATTTTTGGAAAATTTAATTCACTGTGATTTTAAATTAACCTTACTATGTTAAGGATTCAGGAAGTAGGACTCTGGAATTATTATACAAATAATTTAAAAATTCACTCTAGGGTTTTAATTTTAGCTTGCAAGATTATTTTTGTTTTTGTTTTTAATCATTAGTATATCCTTCCTAAAAACAGCACATATCTTGGAGCTATATTTTCAAGGAATCCCTCAAATTAAGCTCAAAACCTATAAAAGTGAAAATTGTAAATATGGCATCCCTGCAATGTTGACAAACTTGACACCTATTCTGAAGCTCTGGTATGAACTTTAGGTGTTGAATCGAAAAATATGTTTTTGCAAGTTTTGCAAGAGTCAGAACCCTGGATCAACTCTGTCATGATGATGTTTCCTAACACTGTTTTCGTGGGACCATATACAAAGATGACACAAAATTGATCACAGGATAAACCATGGTAGTATTAATGGGGTTATATAAATCCAGTGAATGAAAGCTTCCATACAAATTGGGCATGTAAAGACTTAGAATGTATTTGGTCAAAAATAATCCAGACCATTTTAGTTTTTCCATTTTGTACCATTATTCCTTTGTTTTCCAAATCTCCAACAACCACACACAAACCATGAAGTGCACATCTTAAAATGTAGAGCTGCTGGTGGGTAAATGAACTGATTTAGACACAGACCTCTGGCTCCCTGTGATGGCGTTTACCTTTTGCCTCATTTACTCCATGTTTGTGTGTCTGGCCCGGCTGTAGGTAAGAAATCTAAGGCTTGCTTCAGTTTGCTCTCACCCTTGGCTTCTCTGTTGTTACTGCTGCGCATTGGCTTCATGTGCTCCGTTGTTGTACTGCAATGTAAAAAGTCTTTTGTCTCTTCTGTCTTTGTCGCTGCCAGCTGATAATCTGAATGAGGTGGAAAAAGGTTAGTTGCCTTTTAAGTCTATTATGATTTTCATTTTAGTTTCCCTCTTTCTTTTAATTTTTTTTTTATTTTTAGATTTTATTTATTTATTTGAGAGAGAGAGAATGAGAGACAGAGAGCACGAGAGGGAAGAGGGTCAGAGGGAGAAGCAGACTCCCTGCTGAGCAGGGAGCCCAATGTGGGACTCGATCCCGGGACTCCAGGATCATGACCTGACCCGAAGGCAGTCGCCCAACCAACTGAGCCACCCAGGCGCCCTCCCTCTTTCTTTTAAAGCTACATAGATTTCATTGTGTGTACGTGGTAAAAGGAATGTTGGCAAAATCTGAAATCAATATGTCAAGTCAGGCATTTGGATCCTTGACATATCGTTAGCTATGCCAAACACTATAAAAAGGGCATCCGAAGTGCACTTTATCAATTTCTAGAAATCTATGAAAGAAATTCTCTGAGTGGGAAGAAGGGGTGGCTAAAAAAGAAGGACTAATACTTTATACTTCCTACTTGTTTGTATGCTTTAAAGATATCACAAACAGGAATTATTTTTTACAATGAAAAACATAGGTCAATCAGTATAGTTTTAAGATAGAAAAATTTTTAAATAGTGGGAATTTTCCTATAACTCTAAACTAACATCTTTAGTAATTTGAAACATGGAAAATATTGGAAGATGTATATATTTATTAAAACATTTTATAAAATAAGTAATGACAAAGCCGAAGAGGTTGATTTTTAGAATCACATTGTCAAAACATCATAGGCTAGCATGAGTATTAGGCAGTATTTTCAAATCATAAAAAGAACTATATCTAATCATTGACATCAACATGGTCCGTAGAGCTCCCCCAAAACATCA